CTGGGCAGAAGGGCGACATTTTGTTAGTACTTGATGACTTTTTTTTTTTTAATTTTTATTTATTTTTATTTGTGTGTGTGTGTGTGTGTGTGGCCAGCTCAGCCCACCAGGGGGCAGGTCTGGCTGGCATGTGGTGCTGGGGGATTGAACCACAGTCCCTGTGCTTTGCTAAGCTTGTTCTAAGTAGGTGCTTTAGACCACTGAGCCATCTCACCAGCCCCTTGATGACTTTTTAAGTTCTGTATTACACTGGCAGAAAAGAGATTTTCTAAAGATCTGCCTTTATAGGGCTAGCCAAATAGCTCAGTGGATTCTGGTATTAGCTCACCTGGAATCAGGACCCTGAGCTCAGGCCTTTGAGAACCGGAACCACACCATGTCAGTGACATTTGAGATTACGAATCTGGATATGAAGGTGGGGCAGACCCTGAAGCTCAAAGGCAAGATGGAAGAGGACATTGATAACTTTGCGATTAACCTGGGCCAGCGAGCGGATGACCTGAGCCTGCACTTCAACCCACGGTTCAAGGAATCTGTCATTGTCTGCAACTCAAAGGTCGGTGGCAGCTGGGGACAAGAGCAGTGAGATGATCACATGTCCTTCAGCAAGAGATCAGAGGTCAAACTCACTGTGGCCTTTCAGAGCAATGAATTCAAGGTGACACTGCCAGATGGACTCCAGCTGACCTTTCCCAACAGGCCAGGCCACTCCCACCTGAGCTACTTGAATGTGGGAGACATCTGCATCTCCTTCTTCAAGTTGGATTGAGCTGCTGGGACCTCCTTGAGTACAAGTCCCCAGGCTAGACTCCCTGTCCTGGGCATCCCAGGATCTGCTCCCTGCTCTTTACCCATATTTCCTGCCCCTTTGGCCCCATTTCCCTTCCCAAAGTGAACAAAAACAAAAACTCTTCTCTTGTGAAAACAAAACCAAAACCAGGGCTGGCGAGATGGCTCAGTGGTCTGAAGCACCTACTTGGAACAAGCTTGGCAAAGCACAGGGACTGCAGTTCGATCCCCCAGCACCACATGCCAGCCAGCCCTGACCCCTGGTGGGCTGAGCTGGCCACACACACACACAATAAATAAATATTAAAAAAAAAAAAAACAAAACAAAACCAAAACCAAAAACACCCCAAATAGCTCAGCGGATTAAAGTGCCTACAAGCAGGCACGGGGCCAGGGGTTCAATCCCTGGGTCTGCTGTGCCAGCCCCGCCCCCTGGGGCTTGCTAAAACAGTGATTGAGACTGGGCCTGACTGTGGTGGTATATGCCTATAATCCCAGCTCTTGGGAGGCTGTAAACAGATGGATCACTACAAGTACAATCTAGTAGTGAGACCCTGACTGAACACCCTGTAGACCCTTCTGCCTTTATACATGTAGTTTGGAAGGTTCTCCCCCAGGCAATCACAGTGGCTGTCTCTTAGGAGGGAGGACATGCTGGATGGGATGTCAGAGAAACCACAGATGGGGATGTTGGAGGGAAGCAAGTGACCCAAAGGTGTGCGGATCTGATGGCAGTGGGGAGCCACGGAAGATTGCAAACACAGCCCTGAGCAGCTCTGCCTTTCAGAGTGAGCTCCCAAGTCCCACAGCTAGTGGACCTGGGGGAGAGGCTGCGGCTCTGGTCTTAGTGAGAGCTGAAAGCCATCTGTCATAGGGGAAGATATCCCTATAACATGGCCACAGAAGCCTGTGATTTGCACTAAAAGTGGCTGGGAATAAAATGGACCAATTCAGCTAACTTCGGAGAGCTTCTTTGAGTGACAGAGCTCCACAGACAGAAAAGAAGATGGCTATTTCAGAGATAGCATGCAGGGGTACTTCATGCTATAAGAAGTCAAGCAGCCAGGTATGTTAGCACAGGCCTGTAATCCCAGCTGCTTGAGAGGCTGAGGCAGGAGGATCTTAAATTCAAGGCCAGCCTAGATAACTTAGCAAGGCTCTGTCTTAAAATGTAAGAATAGGAGGATATAGCTGAGTGGTAGAAGGGGCCAGGGAGATAGCTCAGTAGAATAAGTGCCTGCCTGGCAAGTGCAAGGTCCTGAGTTCAATCCCTGGTACCAAAAAAAAAGAGTGGTAGGGTGTTTGCCTACCATGTGTGCATGTGTGAGGCTTTGGGTTCCATCCCACCACCCCCACAAACAAGTGAGGCAGCTGAAGGAGCCACAGGGCCCTGGCCGGGAGAGGTGCACTGTGGCTAGGGTGGTATGGGAGGGGACATTTTAAGAGTCCCGATGGATGACAGTGCCAGGTAGAGGGAGCAGTAAGTATAAAAGGCCTGAGCTGGGGTGGGCTGGACATGACTTCAGAGAAGGATCAGATGGGGGTGGGGGGGCTTTAGCTGAGGGGCAGATGTGGAAGAGTTAGGGACCTAGAGGTGGCTGGGGCCGGCTTGTAGGAGCAGAGGGAGTGCAGGAGGAATTGCAGCATGATCATCTTGGGGCTGGAAAAGAGGTCGAAGGTGCCATTTGCACAGGATGTGGTGGGGCATCTAGAGAGGGAACCGGAGAGTGGGAGGGGGTCAGGGCGTTGCCTGGCGGAGCCCGTGCTAAGCCGCTCAGCCCCACTGGGCTCAGCCTCATAGCCTCAGAAGCTTCAGCTCCCGCCTCACCCCCACCCCTCCGCAGCCCCCTCTGGGGATGAAGGATCGTTCACAAATCAAAATAGCATGCAGAGAACAACCTCGAATTGTTCTGCGTAAGAGCAGAGAAATTAGACAGTCAGCTGTGGGCTAGAGACGCCTCCCACACAGCTGGGATCTGCTCACTTGCGCAAGACAGACTTCCCGAGGCCTGCGATTCTGCTGTCTCCCAGCAAAACTTTTTTGCTTCCTGAGCCCCAAAGCAAATAGCAGCTATTTTGAGAGGGAGTGGGACAGATGCTGGCCATGGAGGACAATGAGCGAGTTCATTTGTTTTAAGCCAAAAAAAGCTCTGTGACTTCTTGAAGAAACAGCTTTAGCAGATGTGAGATTGTTCAGCAGTCATTCAAAAATATTTTTTTTTAATATTTATTTATTTATTTATTGTGTGTGTGTGGCCAGCTCAGCCCACCAGGGGGCGGGGCTGGCTGGCATGTGGTGCTGGGGGATTGAACCGCGGTCCCTGTGCTTTGCTAAGCTTGTTCTAAGTAGGTGCTTTAGACCACTGAGCCATCTCTCCAGCCCCAAAAATATTAAGTACTGTACTATACCCTCTTCCTAGGTGGCATCAGGGGACTCTAAGGAAGTAGGGGGAAGCATGCAGTGTGACACTGCCCTTGGGCTAGAGAAAGAATACAGGGGGAGTCAGGAGGTCCCAGTTCTTGCCTTGGTTGGTCACCTGTGCTGTGTGACCTTGGGTGGGTTGTGCTGCCTTTCTGGGCTGCAGTTTTCCAGTCTCTCCCAGTATGGGATTCAGTCTGCGCAGTGATTCTCCAGCTTCTAGAGTTTGTAAGACTCGCTTGCTAAAGATGGAGATTCCTGGGCCAGTTCTAGAGATTTATAATCTATAGTTTAGCAGATCTGATGCTCCAGGAGTCTGCGTTTCTTGCAGGCTCTGCTGGTAATTGTAAAGGGAGCCCTCAGACCCCACCTCAATAAATTGCTTCCCCTGTCTTCCAAGGTTCTTCGTGTTCTGGAATGGGAGGAATTGTTCAGGTGGCGAAGCCACCCCTGAGTTTCTCAGATCAGTCTAGGGCAGGAGAATGTCCTTAGCTCAGCCCCAGTGGATCTGAGTTTCAGTGGAGTCAACCAGGCAAGGTAGCCTCCCCAGCTCCCCAGGGCCTGGCCCAGACCCTGCTGCAAAAGGGGACCATAACTGTAAATACTGTAAATGCCAGCCAAACAAGGCCTCCCTGTGGTGGAGACAGCCATGCCAGCATGGAGCCTGGGGGCTGCCAGGAGGGTGGGCTGTAGAATTTGGTCTTACACCTGGGGATTGATACCTGGCCCCTGCCCCGGGGTTCTGTGTGACACACCTTTCCCACACCTCTGGGGGTAGGAAGAGGCAAGAGTTGAGGCTTCTGAGGGTGGTGTTCAGTTTTGTGGGGATGGGGAGGTCTGGATGGGCCAAGGACCAGGAGCCCTGGCCTGTTGCAGAGGACACCCCGGGGGTCTTTGGCTGTCCGCAGAGCCCTTTTTTCAGATGTGGCCAGTAGTCCTATTTCCAAAAGGCCAGCCAGTGGTAGAAGTTGGAAAATCTGGCCACTCTGGCCTAGCCCCCAGCTTCATTCTCCACAGATGGGGAAAAACAGTTATAATGGCCTGCATGGTTTATTTTTTTCTTTTGCAGTGCTGGGATCAAACCCAGCATAGCACCCCTGCTAGGCAAGTGCTCTCCCACTGAGCTATACCCCTTGTTCTACACATTTACCAACCACTGGGATCAGGGCTAAGTTCTGTATTATCTCATTAAATTTTCACAACCATCCCAAGAGGCTGGTACAAGTATTAGCCCTCTTTCTTTCTTCCCTTCCCCTCCCCCTTCCCCCTTCCTCCTTTCCCCTCCCCCTTCTCCCTCCCCCTTCCCCCTTCCCTGTTCCCCCTTCTCCATTCCCCCTTCCCCATTCCCTCTTCCTCTCCCTTCCCTCGCAGAGATTGAACTCAGGACTTTGCACTTGCCAGACATGCCTTTTTGACACTGAGATAACTCCCTGGCCTCTTAGCCCTCTTTTGAGAGTTAAAGTTGCTGAGTCTCAGAGACCTCAAGCTACTAGCCCAGAGTCACTCAGCCAATATATAGTAGAGGCAGGATTAGAACCCCAACTTGTTTTCCTCTAGGGTCAGTTCTTTCTCAAACTAAATTGCTTAGTACCTCTCAGAAGATATGGTTTTTCCTAAAATACTTTCTGCCAAAGTTACCTACAACCAGAGAAATCCTTCTGCATCTGTTGTAGTAGACAGGAGTGATGTTGAATCAGATGGTCCCTTGACCTTCGTTGGTGAGTCACTGCACCCCCTGTGTTCAGTGGAAACTGAAATCTGAGAAATAATTACCCATGCACTTCCTTCTAAGGTACACTAAGTTGAAGACAGCAACCAACATCTACATCTTCAACCTGGCCTTGGCCGATGCGCTGGCCACCAGCACGCTGCCCTTCCAGAGTGCCAAGTACCTGATGGAGACGTGGCCCTTCGGGGAGCTGCTCTGCAAAGCTGTGCTCTCCATCGACTACTACAACATGTTCACCAGCATCTTCACACTCACCATGATGAGTGTCGACCGCTACATTGCCGTCTGCCATCCTGTCAAGGCCCTGGACTTCCGCACACCTGCCAAGGCCAGGCTGATCAACATTTGCATCTGGGTCCTGGCCTCGGGTATTGGTGTCCCCATCATGGTCATGGCTGTGACCAGCCCCCGGGGTGAGTGGGTGAGAGGGTGGTGGCCTGGGTCTCAGGGCACAAGGGGCAGCACATGGGCCTCTCTGGGTTTATACTTCCCAGGGTAAGTAGAGGTAGGCACTCACAGAGCCCCTGGGAGTGTGCAGGGTCAGCTAGAAGGATGGGAATGGTTGGTGGTGGGGGATGTGGGTGGGAGACTGCGTGAAGATGAGTATGTAAGTGGTCAGTGGACTATGAGTGGCTGGCCTGAGTGCCCATATGTGGCTGGCCAGGGCCATGCATTGACTGACCTATAGGCAGCTCAACAGAGGGGCAGCAGGGTAAAAGTGTCACTGACCAATGATGGCTAGTCTCACCTCAAGCTTCCTTTTACCTGGCTTTGAAAACCACAGATGGGATGATGAAAACGAAGCCTAGCGAACGAAAGCTGCATTTCCTTGGAATAAGGCTGTAATCATTTTCAGATACTGCTTGTATCTGTTATTCTAGCAGCTGTAACAATCTTCAAAGCTCAGGAGCTTCACATGGTGGAGGTTGATTTCTCATGCCTGTCGCAAGCCACTGTGAAAGCAGTGTGGTCATTTAGGGACCCGGGCTCCGACTGACGGTTCCTGAACCTTCCACTGCTGGCATCCAGCTGCATGAACATGGAGAGGGAGTGGGAGGATGCACAACTACTGCTGATTTTTTTCTTTACTTTTATTTTTTTCAGTGCTGGGGATCAAACCTAGGGCCTTGCTCATGCTAGGCAAAAAGATTCACCACTGAGCTAAAGCACCAGTCCCCTCATGACCACTTTTAAATATCATAGACCACCTCTTCCTAGTGATAATTGGTCCCATGGTCCCGCCTTGATGTGAGGAAGTGGGAGAGGTAGTCTAGAGCACCAAGCACATGAGGAGCCAGTGACCTTCTTGGAGCCACACTAGAGAAGGTTAAATAAGATATGTGTAAAACACTTAGGAAAAGGCCTAGCTCATTGCCAGGGCCCAGTAGATGCAGCTGCTAAATGATTAAGCCTGTGAGGTAGACAAAGGCAAGGACCTCTACTTTGACTGTGAGAAGACAGAATCAGAGAGGCCATGTGGTTCACCAGTGTCACAGAGCATGGCATTGGGTGGAGCCTGGCTTACAAGCTGAGGTCCTGCCCTCAGATCTGTCGTTCCTATTGGTCCTTTCAGGGGAGGTTTGCAGAGGCTTGATGGTGTGGGTGGGAGAGGGGAATAGGCCTGATGGGAGGCTTCGTAGTCACCTCTGAGCCTCACAAGGGCAGTGTTTCTGTGCCCTTATATAGCCTCTGAACAGTTGGTCTTGACTCAGCAGCAGGGCCTGGTTCCTTGCTGTCAGCCTTTGGTTTCCACATCATTGACTGCAGCCCTGCTGGGGCTGAACCTGCTGGGGCTGAACCAGATGGGTCTCGGTCTCTCTCACACTCTCTCCCATTTGCTCTCTCTCTTTCACACACACACACACACACACACACACACACACACACGCACACTGTGCTATCAGCACAGATTGGTTGTTCTGTATGCATTTTCCTGTGTGACCTTAAGCAAGTGCTATTCTTCTCTGGGCCTGGTTCTGCCATCCGTAGGACAAAGGTCTCCAACTCAGCCTCATGTCCTGGAACCCACCTTGTCAGTGGGTTCCCAGCTGCTTCTCACAATGCTAGGCTCTAAGCCCACTGTATGACTCCAGATCTTGGGAGTCCCCTCGGCCCGCCTCAGTCTTGCAGGAGAAGCCTACAACATCCCCCAAAGTGCTGGTCCAGCCCAAGCTTTCATTCTAGAAATGGGGACCTCATTCCCTCCTGGGTGCCCTCCTAGTCTATCAGAAAGGTCTTTGTTTTTTCCCCCAGTTCTGGGGTTCCAACCCTGAGGTGCTCTACCACTGAGCTACATCCCCCTCCTTTTTTATTTTTTCCTTTGAGACAGAGTCTTGCTAAACTGCCTAGACTGGACTTGAACTTGGATTTTCCCTCATCAGCTTCCGAATTAGCTGGGATTACAGCATGCATCACCTCCTCTAGCTAAAAAGTCCTTGATTTGGGCTGATATCTGTCACTCTCCAGGGAGGCTGGCTTAACCTTGGCCCCTGAGTTCCCCTACATCTCTGCTCCTCTTCCTGTGTGTGCACCAAGCCCTTGAGCCTTGCTGTGCTAAATGCCTTACTGCCCCCAGGCCAGTCCTCACAGCAATCCTAGGGGTGTATTATTAGTCCCACCACTTTAAAGCTTGAATTCAAGAAGGGGTGCTTTGACCAGCGTACACAGTAGTCAGGGGCTGAGTCTGCTGATGAATCATGTCTGTTCGTTTCTCCTTCTCGGTGCTGGGGGTTGAATCCAAGCCCTAGTGCATACCTAGCCCATTTGAAGGTAGGTTCTTGCTAAGTCACTAAGTTACCAGGCTGGGCTCAAATTTCTTTTCTTTTTTTTTT